GTGGTCTTCAGCTTGGTAGTCACAAAAGGTCACACACAGAGCTAGTACGATGGCACTATAGGCCAGACCTGTAGCTTTAGTTTCTCACCTATAATCTGATTTCGGGCCCCCTCCCTAAAGAGCTTGGCTTGACCTGTGCTTATCTGGTTCCTGTTTCACCTTGTGCATACTCCGTTAGCATTAGGTGTGTGTTTGTCTCTCCTGTTGGAAGCTGAGCTCCATGGGTAGGACCTTTCGGAGGTTGTTCATAGCTGCAGCCCCACCAGCGCACACATATCTGGAGAGTGGCCGGATGATAAGGTGCTTTCGTGCTGTACACAGCCCAGAGTGCCATGCTTTTTCACACTAATGTGAAAGGAGGGTGAAGCTCAGTTGAGGTAAGAAAAAGCATCTGGACATTTTATTTTGGGGTGGTGTGTGTGTGTGTGTGTGTGTGTGTGTGTGTGTACACATGTACAGGTGCATTCACAGGTACATACAGGTGTAAGTGTGTGTAGAGGCCAGAGATCAGTGTCAGACTTCCTCAGTCACTCTCTGCCCTTACCTTAAGATATATTTTATGTGTATGAGCTTTTGCCTACATGTATGTATATGTGCCATGTGCATGCCTGATGCCTGTGGAAGCCAGAAGAGGATGTGGGGTCCCCTGCAACTGAATTTACAGGCAGTTGTAGATCACCATGTGAATAAGAGAAACAAATATGGTCCTTTGCAAGAGCAGAAAGGGCTGTTAGCCACTGAGCCATTTCTCCAGTCTTTTTTTTTTTTTTTTTGAGATAGGGTCTCATTCCATCTGGATCTCACTAATTTTGCTAGACTGGGTAGTCAGGAAGCTCCAGGATCCAGCCATCCGCCTTATCAGCACTGGGGTTATAAGCACTGGGGACAGAGCCTCATGCTTTGCATAGCAAGCACTTGAGTCACCCCACCCCACCCCCAGTCTTGATATTTTTTTGTTTTGTTTTGTTTTGTTTGAGCCAGAATCTCACCATGTAGTCTAGTCTTGCCTTGAACTTGTGATCTCCCTGAACTCTTCCTTCTGGTGCTGGGATTATCAAGCATGCGCCACTGTGCCTAGCTTTAACTGAAAAACATTCTCGAAGGTGGTTTCGAATAGAACATAGGAGAAAGTGAGGTGAGGTTGGAGGTCCAAATCCCAGACACCAAGCAGGAGGACTTTCTTTGCTTCTGGATCCCTCTGTCCGCTGCTGCTTCCTCCAGCCCCCTGCTGTGACAGCCTGGGCCCATCACCATCAATAGGAAGGGGCTTTTTTCTTCCAGAGAGCTCTACCAACTCAGGCTGAATGTCAAATGTGCCTTCCAAGGCACATCTGTTCGGGCCTTCGCTCTTGGGGAGTCCTCTGCTCTGGGGAGAGCTGTCTGCAGCCCTGCTTTCTGGGTCTGTCTCACTGACTCTCAGGATGTGGCCTGCTCCTAGACTCCCTAGAACCTAGTCTGGAGCTTCCTCTCGGACTGAGAGACAACAGACAGATTTGTTGTCACTTGGATCAGTCTCTTTACCTCACGCCTATAGGTGCTGCTGGGGTTGTGAGTGGTGGTGCAAGATTTGTGCTAATGTCAGGGTCTCATGTTGTGACCTTCAGGTACATCTTGTCTGTACAAGACCACCTCTTCAGGCTTGGTCTCCTTCAATAACCTTCATTCTGGTCAGTTAGCTTCCCTAGCCCAGACTAAACAGACTCACTGTTTCCTCACTGCTTCTAGAGAGCAAGCGTACAAGCAAAAATCATCTCCCATTCTTGGGAGTAGTTCTGCACACCCGACTTACGACTCTGCTAGATGGAAACAATCCCTGGGCAACTGTCTGCTAGAGGGTTGGTGGATCTGTGGTCTTAACTGGGACTCAGTGCTATGTCATTGTCTGTTTTATGTTGCTATATTTGTGGTAAAGTGCCTGTTGGCCAGGACACTCAAGACAGAAAGACCTGCTGCTCCATCCTCAGGCTACAGATGGCAGGGCCCATACACCCAGCAGTACCTCGTGCATCCTTCTCCTTCCTGCTTCTCCTTTAGGTGTTTGGGTTCAGGACTACTTAAACATCTTTTGCCTTTGGAATACATGTGCCCAGAAGCTAGATGAGGTTTACTCCTGCGTGTGAAGGAAGAGCACACAACTCTGCAGCCTCCGTCTCCCTCTAAGTAGATGTATGTCCTTCCCAGTCTCCATGCCTTTCTCTCTTACTAGGGAGTCCCATAGCTAGCCTCAGAGTAGCCTGTTGAGCTTCTACATGGCAAGGCAGAGCAGGGCACAGTGGATCATGTGTCTGCCATGGTAGGTGTAGACAAGGCACAGAGCTCTGAGTTCTGGTCACTGAGCCACTTGTGTTTCTTTCAGGGCTCTTTTTACCTATGAAGGGAACAGCAATGACATCCGTGTGGCTGGCACAGGGGGTGAGTATGAACCCAAACAGGCTCTCAGAACCTAGACAGTATCAGAGTGAAATACACAAAGGGGAGAAGTGTGACTAGCCCTGGGCCCCAGTGGGTGACATTTAAGCCATCACAGGAACAGAAAGGGGACTCCAGCACACAGGCATCTCCTTCATCTGGTTCAGCTACAGTGACACTTCGCCCAGTTGAGTCTTCCTGCAGACCCTTTACCAAATTACCTCCATTAAGGGCTATTCCTGATCTGAACGTGAACCAGCATTGACTAGGACCAGGGCCAGTGCCGTGTCAGCCATGACACACTGATGCTTTTCACATGTTAGTCAGTGAAAACATTTTTCTTTTAGTGAAAATATTCTTCTTTGGCTAGGCCAGGACAGTGCTGCTGTCTGAGAAACAGCCCAGCCTCCGACTCATGGGCAGCCCTTGTCCAGAGCACTACACACTGAGGATGCCAGCCATGAGGCTGGTGCAGGTGAAGGCCCACATCTATGTTCTCTGATTCTGCCCTGCCCTGGTCCTGGGTAACCACATGCAAGGGCCTGACCCTCATGAGGGAGAGGCGGTGTTGCTGCAAGTGGTGTTGGGGACCTTGATTTGGTGGTCAGAGTGTCTATGCAGAAACACTGGCTTTTGGCTACCACTGTGAGAAACTGGCAAGTCAGCTGAACCAGAGATGCCTGTGGTATGGGACACAGACCTGTCAACGAAAACCTTTAACTCTTTCCCATGCTGCTTGAGGCTAACATGACTGTCGTTGGGGCCTACCTGACTACCCTCTATGTCAGCTCCAAGTGAGTGCCTGGAGCATGTTCTCTGCTCAGGCAGTCAGTGTGGTTTTAGTTACTATTGTTGATAGAAAAATGCCTTTCTGCTATGAGCTATTCATGTGGATATATCCTCTTTCCAGAATTGTCACGTAGTCATTTCATATGACATGGTAGGTGCCTGAGAGTTGCAGATATCAGCATTCTGAGCTTCCTGCTGGCAAAAGCAGCACTCTGTTGCCCATCAGAATGCTGACTGTCCTAGGTTCTTTGGAGCCCTGTAGCTAAATGCCTGACCCAGCTTCTACTGTGACCTGGGACGTTTAGAGATTGAAGCAGTGTCAGGAAGAATAGCTTTGGGCAGCTCATCCTGACCCCAGCCAAGACTGTGAGAATTAAACTAATTTTCATCTTTAGAATGTTCTAAAAGGTCTGACTTTGGCGGCCCTGGAGTCTGAGTGGACATGTAGTTTGTAACAAGGAAACACTAGTAGGTCTATTGTCCCAGGCCTTCCTTGGTAAAATTGTCATAGAGATCTTCCATTCATGATATGCATGCATAGAGGTACATGCCTTTAATCCTAACCTCAGGAGACAGAGGCAGGCAGATCTCTGTGAGTGTGAGACCAGCCTAGACTATAGAGAGTTCCAGGACAGCCAGGGCTATATAGAGAGACAAATCTCAAAATCAAAAAAGAAAGAAGAAAAGGTAAAATACTAAGAAGAGCAAATTTTTTAAAAATTTCTGATTCCCTTCTGAGTTTGGAGAAGTGGATTTGTCTGATTGTTTTTAAGTCACCTAACATGCTTGTCAGAAATGCTCTTTCTTGGGTCCTACCAGCTCTACTAAATCAGTTGAGTGGGGTTGGGACCCAAGAACCTGGTTATTTATATTCCATTTACTTTTTTGTTTATAATTTTGTGGTGCTGGAGATTGAACCAAGACCTGGTATATGCTAACCAGGCACTCTACCACTGAGCTTGTGTATTCACCCTCAGGAGTTTGATTTTAAATGCGCCCAGAATGGTTCTGAGACAGGTGGGGTTGGACCAGGCACTGGTGGGCAGGGGTGCAGGCTGCCTCTGAGCTTCCCTTTGACTCTGCAGAGGGAGGTCTGGAGGAGCTGGTGGAGGAGCTCAACAGCGGGAAGGTGATGTATGCCTTCTGCAGGGTGAAGGACCCCAACTCCGGCCTGCCCAAGTTTGTCCTCATCAACTGGGTATGTGGATTCATTGCCTCTAGTGCCATTGGGGAAGTCCTTTGTCTGCTTTCCTTGGGAACAGAATATTTTCCTGCACCATTCAGTAGGTCAACAGAACTGTGAGTTATTAATGGTTGAATGAGCAGAGTAGACCATTCATTCATTGTGAACCAAGGAATAAATACCTTTGCTTAGAATTCACTCTCCGAGGCTTGAATGATTCCTACAGATTGGTGTAGAAATGACTATAAGAAAATCGTCATCCTGTTCTCTTCTTAGTGATGGTTCTGATGGAGCAGAGGGCCTGAGGTTCAGGAGCGTTGGGAATATAGAGATAGGAGCTTCAACAGAAGAGATCCCCCCAGTTGGGAACCAGGAATATTTGAGAAATGCTCCCACATGGGAAGCCAGCAGCCATACTTCTCAAAGAATATCCTGAGCTCCTTGGAAAGTATGAGGACTGATCTCATCCATATGACTCATTTGGGAGTTCTGCTTTGGCTTTGGCTTGGAGTGTGGAAGAGGGAGATTGTCTCTGTTGGGAGAGATAGGGAAACTGTTGGGTTCCTGGGAAATGTGGGCCAGGAAGTGGCTTTGGAAGAGGCCTGGTTCATGCTGGTGTTTGTGTTGCAGACAGGCGAGGGTGTGAATGATGTGCGGAAGGGAGCATGCGCCAACCACGTCAGCACCATGGCCAACTTCCTGAAGGTAAGAGCTGAGCCAAGCCCTGCAGAGGCCCTTGTAAGATCCAGTACTGTGGATCCCTGAATGCAGGTGAACTGGGAAGGAGCTGGAATCAGGAGCAGAGCCATGATTAGTGATGAATGTTCGTTCTACCCAGCAGAGCCAGACAGAGCCACCTTTGGCTGGCCTCAGTGGGGCAGGATGAGGACCACTTCAGCACTGATCCAGTGGGGATGGCCGAGCCCCAGGGTCTGAATGGTGTATCAGCATCTGGCATAGTGATTTGTGCTTTCGATCCCAGCACTCAGGAGGCCAGGGCAGGCAGATTCTTTGAGTTCAAAGCCAGCTAGGCCTACATAGTGAGACCTTGTCTCATAAAACTAAAAGTGAAACCAACAAACAAAACTGGAAAACTTAAGCAGCAGCAGCAAGACTTGGAGGAAGGAACAAGCTGCTCATGGCCCTGCCCCATGCATCCCTTTGATGCATTTCTTTCCTGTGCACTTAGACAAACATTTGTGCCATTCATCCTACAGCTGTAGTTTTTCCAATTTCAGAGACATTTCTATCAAAATTAATTTATAACTCAGTTGTCAGCTGGCTTTTTGATATATATATAAATTTTTTTTTATTTATTTATTTTTTTTTTTGTGGTTCCTGGTAAGGAAGCTTGAGACTGCTTCAGTTTCTGCCAGCATGACTTTACACATACCTTAGTTCTTCCATCTGCTGGGTAAAGAAGCTTCTAAGGTTTTAATTAAGTTTTAAGATTTTTACAGTGTTGAGATCAAAGACAGCTTCTCACATGCTAGGCAAGTACTCTGCTATATATCTTCAGCAAGCTTCCGAAGGTGTATGATGACAGGTAATGTAGTCACAAGTCAGGTACTCAGGAGGGAATAGTGAGTTTCCATTGACTAGATGGAAGTTGCCTGCACGTCTGATAAACTGCAGCAGCCACTGTAGAGCATCCACAGCTGGGGAGAGCGGGGCCCTGGTGTGGCCTGACACGAGTCTTATGTACAGCAGTGGCCTTTGCTGTGAACAGGTAGGAGTTTGGCCTGTCCTCTCCTAAGCTTACAGAGCTTATATTTTAAGGGCTGTTTCTGCTTTAGGGTGCCCATGTGACCATCAATGCACGGGCTGAGGAGGATGTGGAGCCTGAGTGCATCATGGAGAAAGTTGCCAAGGCCTCTGGGGCCAATTACAGCTTCCACAGGGAAAGCAGCTGCTTCCAGGATGCAGGGCCGCAGGCCCCAGTGGTGAGTGCCGCCCACCTGTTACCTTTTTCCTTGCCTGAGAGCAGAGGCCAGAAATGGAGTTTCTAGGGTCTGGATAACTAATTCTTCCTGCTTGGCATCTTTAGATGGCAATCCTAAGCCCTGGCAGACACCAACCCCACCAGCTTGGCTGTTCTAGAGGCAGCTTGTGGCAAAGGCCCTTTAGCTTTGATAGTCTGGTAACCCAAGGGCTATAGTGTTAGCATGGCTTAGATGGTCCCTGATAGTAGCCATTGTGGAGAATATCTGGTGGTTTTATTGCAGAGCCTAAAACCACATAGGCCTGTGGCTCTGGCATTCTGCACAGCTCATGGCTTCAAACCACTTATTAGTCACACGATTGGGATCCATGGTGATTCTTCTGGATGCTGTTAGCACTCAGCTGTCTGAGCAGCCTGCTTTAGAATTGCCAGGAGTCTAGGACAAAAAAAAATCGTTTCCTGTGCCCATCAATAAGGACCTGTTACCACCAGAAAAACACATGTATATATAAACATATCCAGTGTTCTCAGGATGCCATGTCCTTGCTCAGTGGTTTCCCTGAGCTTTTTGTTCTCCTTTTGTTTTAAAGATGTATTTTATTTTTATTGTATGTGTATGGGTGTTTTGCCCGCTTGTATGTCTGTGCACTACATGTGTGCTGTGCCCGCTTGTATGTCTGTGCACTACATGTGTGCTGTGCCCAAAGAGAACAGAAAAGGGTACTGGATCCTCTAGAACTGGAGTTACTGAGGCTATTCCATGTGGGTGCTGGGAACCGAACCCTGGTCGTCGGCAAGAGCAGTAGGTGCTCTTAGCAGCTGAACAATCTTCCTAGCCCTTGTTTTGTTTTTTGAGACAGGGTCTTAAAAAAGACCCTGTAGTCCAGGCTTGTAAAAAAGCCTGTAGTCCAGGCTTGCCATGAACTCAAGAACCTTCTGCCTTGGCCTCCTGGGTACTCCTAGACTTTTCTAAACATCTTGCTGTACCTCCTTGTGGGTGGTAGGCCAGGCTCCCTTGAGCCTACCAGATGCAGTCCCAGTAGCTTTCACCTGCTCTCTAGAGCTGGCAAATCCCGGTTACCCTGCGCTATACCATGCCTGACCTTCCACATGGGGCCAGACCTCTAGCATGTACTATGTTGTCTCTAGGGCTCTGTGTACCAGAAGACCAATGCCATATCTGAGATCAAGAGAGTTGGCAAAGATAGCTTCTGGGCCAAAGCTGAGGTGAGTGCTATAGTAGTGGGGGATGGCGCACTGCCAGGCTTCCTGTCACAGCTATCTTTCACAGCTGGTTAAACTGAAGACATACCTTAGTTAAGTCACGGGGCATGATGGGCTACAGTGTCCCTTCCCTGACCCCTGCCCTTTAGGGACCCAGTGCCTAGCAGGGGTGGAGACTAAGGGGGCTGGCTGCACATGGCTAAGAGGGCAGCTCCTCCTGCAGAAGGAAGAGGAGAACCGTCGCCTGGAGGAGAAGCGACGGGCTGAGGAGGAGCGGCAGCGGCTGGAGGAGGAGCGCCGTGAGCGAGAGCTGCAGGAGGCTGCGCGCCGTGAGCAGCGCTACCAGGAGCAGCACAGACCAGCTGGGCCCCCAAGGTTAGCCCACCTTGTCCCAGGGCTGTCCCCAAATGCTCACCTGTTCTGAGAGGAACACTGAGGGAGATTCGTGAGGAGCTGCTGATGAGCTCCTCTAATCTCGTTCCTTCCAGCAGGACGTGTGAGCTGGAGCAAGGAGTGGTTTCAAGGAACAGACAGGAATGGGTGAGTTTGAGACTTCTCTCCTCAGACCTGGGAACTTGCTGGTTTGTATCTGTCTTGGCCATTTGGTGAAATCCTTAATCTTGGATCAAAGGCTTAGCCCAGACCTCCGCAGTCAGCCTGAGGCGCATCTCTGCACATCAGAGAACCAGTGGGGGAAGAGCCAGGGTGGAGGCTTTTGGGAGAGGCCCTGTCAGTTTCTCTGCTTCCTGTTCCCTATTCGACCCCACTCTCTGCACATACTTGATGCAGCTCTGAGGGCCTGCTTTCTGAGGTAGGAACAGTCAGGTGAAAAACCTCTGGGTTCCTATTTACTGCTGGAGTCAAAGCATGCTTCTCTGCTTCTCCCAGGAGTCTGCAGGGCAGCAGGCCCCACACCCACGAGAGATTTTCAAGCAGAAGGAAAGGGCTATGTCCACCACCTCCATCTCCAGCTCTCAACCAGGTGAGGCCGCCTCACAGTCTGGCTGCAAAGCAGGTGGACTGAGGGCAAGCCTAGAGGTCCACACAGGGGGCCCCAGGGCAATTATTAAAGGGTAACAAAGGATAAATGAGTTCAGAGAACCACCTAGAGTCCAGATGGTCCCATTTGTCCTGCATTAGTGACCATCCTACACCACTCTGACCCATAATAGACATAGGACTCTACCAGCCACAGATTTATCACACAACCTCAAACCCTGGAGTCCTGACCTGTGCTAGCCAGGGCCTACCTGGGATACAGCTAAGCAGGTCTGCAGGCTGCAGGTGCTGTATCTGAAGTGGTACATGTGTGTCTGTTGGCTATTTCAGGCAAGCTGAAGAGCCCCTTCCTGCAGAAACAACTCACTCAACCAGAAGCCTCGTATGGCAGAGAGCCCAGTCCTCCTGTCTCACAGCCTGGAGCAGGCAAGACCCTTATAGCCCTTGTAACCCATCCCTGGAGGGGACTGATGCTTGAGAAGGGGACTATTGTAGGAAGAAGGTCACAACCTTCTGTGTCTCTTTGCCACAGTTGTCTATGAGGAGCCAGCGCCTAGCACTCTGTCTTCAGCCCAGGCAGAAGAAGAGCTCACATACGAAGAACCCCCAGAGCAGGACAACCTCTATGAGGAGCCGCCACTGGTGGGTTCCTGACAGGGGTAGGGGGATGGGGGCCGTGGATGTAGGCCTGAGTCTCCTGTGGCACATTGTAGGATACTAGGGGTGGGTTTGTTGTTGTTGTTGTTGTTGTTTTGTTTTTCACTGTTTGTTTTTATTTTATGTGTATGAATGTTTAGCGTGCATACATATATGTGTGTGGTACCTATGGAGGCCAGAAGAGAGTATCAGATCCCCTGGAACTAGAATTAGAGTTGGGAGCTACCATGTGGGTGCTGAGAACCAAACCCGGGTCCTCTAAGAGCAGCAAGTGTTCTTAAGTACTGAACTGTCTCCAGGCACTTTACTAACACAGGATCTCACTGTGTGGGCCTTCAACTGGAGATCCCCTTGACACAGCCTCCTCAAGTGCAGGATTGCTACCATGCACACCATAGTTTTGCTTTGTGGCATGGATGGCAGAACCCAGAGCCTTGAGCGTGGTGGGCAGGCAGTCTGCCAGGGAGTATACTCTTACTTGACTCGGAGCCGCGCAGTGCTTTGGGTTGTGTGGGCCAGTGCCCCTGCGTGACTGATGGAAGATGCCCAGAGCTCCTTGCAGTCCATGGCTGGAGGGATTTGTGTGCTGCCTTGAGCTTCTGTATCTTTGAAAAGAGAGTGGTGCTGCAGGTGTATCAGGCAGCAAAGACCCCTGGCCTCAAAGGCCCTCCTGTACTCTGTGCCCTTGCCTCAGCTCTCGGCTTAATGGGACCTCAGGTGAAGGCTGAGCCTGGGGTAATGCCGTCTTTCTCACGTCTGCAGGAACAGCAGCAAGAGGCTGGCTCTGTACACATTGACAACTACATGCAGGGCCAGGGCCTCAGCGGACAAGGGCTGTGCGCCCGGGCTTTGTATGACTACCAGGCAGGTAAGATTCCTGACCACCATCCCAGGTCATGGATCCTGAGATTAGGGGACAGGAATGTGTATAGGGGCTTCATGGGGGGTAGCTCCAGAGGTCACCCGAAAGAAAAGATGTGAGGTGGAGAGCCCCTTGCACTGGGAGTGCCCATGGCGTTGGGGCTTGTCTTGAAGAGCATGTGCCTCTAGATAGCTGCCCACCATCCCCTGGCAGGAATCCCTATAGCTGTTCTTACTGTGGACCTTCAGGTCTGAACAGAGCACTGAGGCTCGGATACTGGCTCCCAGCTTTCCTCAGGGGAGGCCTTGGGGAACGGACTGGGGGTTGTGGAGCTGCCTTTTACAGGAGCGCTCTCTGAGGAAGCTTTGCCCTGAGAAGTGGCCACTGCAATCAGTCACGTGGGTGCTGTCAGGCTGGATGGCAGTGGGCTGTTTTTGAGGAGGAAGCAGGGAGTCTCTGACCTTTAACGGAGGAAAGGCAGGGCTCCCTGGGGACAGGTAAGGGATGTGGGAAGGCCCAGAGATACCATGCCTCGGCTTCCCTTCCTGCAGCTGACGACACAGAGATCTCCTTTGACCCTGAGAACCTAATCACGGGCATCGAGGTGATTGATGAAGGCTGGTGGCGTGGCTATGGGCCTGATGGCCACTTTGGCATGTTTCCTGCCAACTACGTGGAGCTCATAGAGTGAGGCTGAGACCTGTCTTCCTTCTCCACTGAAGTGGCTTCCTTGTTGCTAAAAGAGGAGGCCTAAGAGTTAATGTTTGGCACTCTTTCAGGAATGGAACATCAATGAGGACAAGGCTCTCTTTGCCTTGAGTGCTCTGTGACCCCAGATGTGGCAGTATCCACTTCCTCCCCAAATGCTTACTGCAACCTCCAGACCCTTCTACCAGCCTCACACTTGACCCCAGTGGGAGTGGCATATTGAGCCAAGCTTAACCTGTGGTCGGCTCTGGGTAGCCTCTGTCCAAGGACAGCAGCACTGAGAAGTTGAACTCAGAGCAGGGACTTCTGGGGCCACATTCTGCATTGCCTTTGTTTCTCTGTGTGGCTTCTAAGGGGTGGTAGCTGCAGCCGTCTTGAAAGGCCCTTGGGAATCATGAACTTAAGAGAATTGCTTTTAGCGAAATCTTGACCAAAGTCCAAGTAGACCGTAACGGTTTGACAGCAGGGAGGTTTTCATACTAGAGGCTTCCCTGCCTCACTCCATTTCTATCCCTGTGTGTGTGCTGTGGGAAGGAGGAACGGGACGCCCAAGCCCCCATCTCTGGGAATATGAAAAATCAAAGACATGACATGACATACATCATGTGGTTCCCTCAGTATCTGCTGGCTCAGCCCATCTGTTGTCTTCTAAACATGTCTAAGAGCTGTGGTGCACTGTGCAGCTCATCTGCCCCTGCTGACCATAATGCTCCCATGTGGGAGGAATTTCAGCCTGTGATCTCTGTCTACATCGGACCTGAGCATGTACGTGTGTGTGTACATATGTTCCCTCAGACAGACTGTGGCTGTTGGGCCTCCTACAAGAAGTGTAAATGAGCCAGGCATGGTGGTGCACGCCTTGAATCCCAGCATTCAGGAAGCAGAAGCAGGTGGATCTCTGTGAGTTCAAGGCCAAAGGCCAGCCTAGTCGTCATAGTTCCTGGACAGACCTCAGAAAGAGTGAGCAGGGCTGTATAAATGATAAGCTATAACTCGTGTTTGAGCCTTTGTGCATTTCAGTTCTGGAAGAGGCCACTGCTGCTGTTTTTCCAGGAGCTTCTGCAATATGGTCTAGCTCTAATCTGCCTGGAAATGCTGGGTGAACATGCTTGACTCCTAGACCTAGCCAGTAGCGGCCTGGAGTGGAAGTGCACAAGGAAGCCACCGACCTCAGGCAGTGGTCAAGCCTACTTCCTCCCTATCTTCTGCCTATTCTTTAGACTTTATGATGATGACAGTAGGCCATGGAGGACCTATGAGCTTAAGCTGTTGCAGGCCTAGCCCTAGGCTTGTCTTGGCCTGGAGGTACACTTAGCCAACCATTTAAGAGGTCACCGGGGTGGCAGAAAGCTGCCCTGAAGGAAGCTGGTCAGGAGCCACACTTCCTGTTACTCATGGAAAAGGCCAGGTCACATTCTTTTTTTCTCTAATATAACCAAGTGGCTCTAAAGCTCCAGGGTCACTACAGAGGGTTTGCATGGTCCTGCCCTAGCCCCCAATAGCCAGGGATGGGTACTAGGCTTCTGCCTCCATAGCTGTTGACTTGGGAATAGCTGCAACCTGAACCCAGGAGTTCCTGTGACTAATGAGTTGAGCTGGGCAGACCAAGCCTGGCTATACTAAATTTGGCACTATGCACAAGTAACTTTATTGCCCATGTCCACCCTCACTTGGCCTTTCCTTGAGCAGCAACAGCTTCCATGGCCTTCCGAACTGTCTCTTCATCTCCCAGGAACCTCATGGGCTTGGTAGGCTTCAGCGCCTGGTCCAGCTCATACACAATGGGAATTCCCGTGGGCAGGTTCAGTTCCATGATGGCCTCATCTGACATCCCTAGAGCAGAGAACAGTGTTCTTAGCCCCTTCACTCAATTCATAGCATGGCCTTTGTGGCCTTGGTACTGGGATGCTGCCACTTTGCCCATCCCTGAAAGCAAGGCTGCAAAAATGTGCCTAAAGGTCAAGGCAGACCTGTCTACAGAAATAGCCCAGCAGCAAGACAAGAACATCCCCCATGAATAGCAGTGACCTGAGTGGTCCAACGCATGCGCTCAGTCCAGTGTGAATTGGCCAGGCTAAAGGGTTTGGAAGAATGTCATTTGGTTTCTAGAGGTTCTAAATTCTCAACAGGGGAGGAACAGGAAACCTGACCCACTGCCTGCTGCTGCACTCCCTGACTGGAATAGCAGCTCAACCTTTGCTGTTGCCATCACCCCATCCTTACCAACCAGGAAGACCAGGGAGGAGGGGCAGGGGTATCACCCTCATGTTGCTCATCTGCCCACTAGTACTCTGGAGCTGGAGAAATGGGCCACACCCTACTCTTTTCTTGGGATCCCAGTAAGCCTAAAGGTCATCCAAAATCTAATATAGACTTCTGGAGTCTTAAGACCCAGTTGAGGCCATAATTCGTGTCCTCCCTACACCATATGGCCTTCCAGGGCCTGTGTGTTGGCCCTTGCTCTCTAGCAGGAGCACCACCACAAGCTTGAAATCAGAAGTAGCTCCATAGCTCTGCACCCAGACTGCTTTTTGCCCAGAGAAGCTATGGGAGGGAGACACAGTAGATCAGCTTTGTGCAGCTGGGCTGGCTATGCATCGTAGGTCCACACGTGAAGCAAAAGGACCTCAAATCCAAGGCCTTGTGTATATAGTAAGACTTTCTTGAGAGAAAAGAAATTAGCAAGAGTTCTGTACCAGCTCAAGTGGCTTGTACTCAGGGCTGAATGCACAGAGCTCTGGCACGTTTTCCCAGCGGGTGCCTCAAGCCTGTTCAGCCCACAGTCAGCTGTGCTGTGCAGGCTAAACACCACCACCGTTGTCCTAGCAGCCCACTGTATACTGGAAATGGAGCCACATAAAGAGTGTCTCTCGAGTCTTCCCTCCATCTCCTTTCAAAGCCCTCGCAGCTGAAACTCGTCAGGGCTCTTCCCTCACTGGTCTCTGCTATCCCCTCACCTCCTCCCTGAGTGGGCCTCACCTTCCAGGTGTTTCACGATGCCTCGAAGGCTGTTCCCGTGGGCTGCAATGAGCACTCTCTTGCCCTCCTTAATCTTAGGGGCAATCTCCTCATTCCAGAAGGGCAGGGCCCGGGCAATGGTGTCCTTGAGGCTTTCACAGGTAGGCAGCTCCCCAGGCTTCAGGGCTGCATAACGCCGTTCCTAGGGAAGGGCACAGGGACACTTGTGTTTGCTCCCTGGGTAGCCCTCCCACCCGGGCTCCCAACCTCCCAGCTGCCCACCACCTGGCCCACCTTGCTGATGGCAGTGTAGTAAGGGTGCTTATCATCCATGGGGGGTGGTGGGATGTCAAAAGAACGCCTCCAGATCTTCACCTGCTCCTCCCCGTGTTTTGCAGCTGTCTCGGCCTTATTGAGGCCCGTGAGGCCACCATAGTGCCTCTCATTGAGACGCCAGGTCCGAACCACAGGCAGCCACATTTGGTCCGTAATGTCCAGGATGGTCCAAAGGGTGCGGATGGCCCGCTTCAGCACTGATGTGTAGCAGATGTCAAACTCTATCTTGGCATCTTTGATGGCAATGCCCCCCCGCTTGGCCTCCTCAGTCCCCTTCTCACTTAGTTCTGCATCAAACCAGCCACAGAAACGGTTCTCTTGGTTCCATGAGCTCTCACCGTGGCGAACCATTACTAGGCGGTGGGTGGCCATGGCGGCAGGGGGACGCAGCTCCAGGTGACAGCTGCTTGCTTGGCGCTTTAGCTTTATAACAGTTTTCCCAGCCCCCACTCCAGCCCTTAACTGCCAATCAGCATTCCAGAAGGGACAGGCAGACATAGGCAACCAGTGGCATAACTGGGGGTGGGGTATAGGCCAAGGAGCTGGACTTAAAAATAGCCTCACAAAACCATCAGCTCTGCCTGGGCTCAGATGACAAGTCCAGAACCAGCTGGCACCCGGCCAAACTGGGTGGAGCTGCTGAACTGGACCAGAGTGAAGGGCAGAAGTCAGATATGGGGTTGTTCTCCAGGTGGAAATACTTATCTTTAACGTCAGCAGCTTTCAATGTCTGCTCGGGCAGAAACAAAACTACTGCAGGCCCACTTCTGATAGATAGATAGATAGATAGATAGATAGATAGATAGATAGATAGATGGTTTAACTATGTGACTCAGGCTGCAATTCTCCTGCCTTAGCCTCTTAACACAGTAAGACAAGCTCATGCCTATCTCAGGAAGGAATCTAGCCTAGTGTCAAGATAAAGTGTGTGTATAGGATATCCATACATAGAAGTCAATGAATACATAAACATGTATGTGTGCGGCGGATTACTGTTCTCCCTCCAGGTGCCTGACTCAGCAGACATGTCCTTGCTCACTTGGAAAGGTGTCCTGGGATTCAGGAGCCTAAGAACCACATAGCTCTGAGAGGAGGCCTCCTCAGGAGCCACAGCCCTGCTCCACTTCTTGGCTTCTTCCGATGAGAGAGTCACACCAGGCAGCAAATCTAGCAAAAGAGATTTATTGGGAGGGTCCAGGGTGTGGAGGGATGAATTCAAGTTGGCTGATCCTGCTCCCAGGAGAGGGCAGCAGGGAATGAAACAAAGGGCAGGGCTTATATAGGATTGCGGGGGGGGGGGGGGGGGGGAGAGCTTATCAGAGCAGAGATTTCTATTGGTGGGATTTCAAGTCCTGAGCTTGGGTTGCTCAGGGATTGGTGGGGTTTCATGCTCAGGGACTGGTGGGTTTTGTGGGAGGCTCAGGGATTGGTAAGCTTTTTTTCTTCCTTCATCAGGCCCATATATTAGGATGGGAAGACCTTCCAAGCTGTAGGCAGCTTTGGCTGAGGCACCATCACTGCCTAGCTTCTAGGGAAGGCTGAAGAGGAGGTGCTGCCCCCAAGCTTCTAAGGTGGTACCTCACAACAATGGCAGCAGGCAGAGGCAGGAAAAGTGACCTCCCTTCCACAGGCAGCCAAGCTAGGAGGGCACTTTGTTAGACAGAGAAGGAGCAAAAGTCAGCAGAAACGGAGTGGGGAAGTCATGTGGAGGACAGCACCAAACCCAAACAGCTAAAGCAGGGGCTGAGACACCTCTCCCCCACCCCCCTTGGATCGGCTTTTAGAACAATCAAAAGAAAAGGACTCTCCTCTCGGTTCCCTTGTTGAGTCTGAGCTGTCATCCAAACCAGGCTCATCCCACCAAGCTGAGACTACCTTGGAAAAGAAAATAAGATTCGTGGCACATGCAAGCCCCCGCCCTCTAGGGACAGAACTGCACTGACTTACCGGTGTTAGTTTTGGGGTATGTAGGAACCTCCGTTCTCGGGAGCACCAGGGATGGGTAGAGGCAGGGAATGAGCAGCATGATGTAGTTATGCACACCTTTAATCCTGGAGCAAGTGAGGCAAGGCTGCTCAGCCAAGACTGGCTGCAGAAGGTGGCAGAGCCACCAGAGTGGGGAGCTACTGGCTTAGCCGTGAGCCCCTGGTGTGTTGAGATGGTGGAGGAGCCCCAAGCCCATCTCTTCTTTGATCTGGCAAGGTTCTTTGTAGAGTACAGTGGTAGGAGCAGCAAGGAAAGCTGGTCATGGTGGTGCACGACTTTAATCTCAGCACTCAGGAAGGCAGAGGCAGGCAGATTGCTGTGAGTTCCAGGCCAGCCTGATATACAAAATGAGTCCAGGACAACCAAGGCTGCATGCATTGTCTGCTCAAAAACAAAAACAAAAAAAACAAACAAACAAAACAAAACAAAAAAAAAAAAAAAAAAAAAAAAAACAAAGAGCAGCAAGGGACAGGAGACCAAAGCTAGGAGGTTGCAGAGTCCCAGACAGTCCTGGGAGGGCAGGCTAGCCTTAGTAGCCTGAAGTAGCACTTGAAGTAGAATTAGGTAGAAAAACCAAATATTAGATACTGATTTGTTAATGTACCTAGTGAGATTACTTAGAGCACCACTGGTACTTCCTGTTCGCCAAGCATGACTTGACCTAGTGCCTGGAGCAGAATGACCTGGAGGAAGAGCTGAAACTGTGGTCAACACCAGGTTACTCTCTGCTCGCTGCCAGCTGTCATGTAAACGTCTGTGAAATCTTGCTTGCCCGCCCCACCTTGTGGTTTTAGTGTATAAGATGAGGCTACAAACTGGATCTGGTATTGAAGCCTTTCAGGAGCTGCCCCACCCACATCCCCAGCACTCTCTTGGGTGCCGGAGTACTTATTCCAGCAAGAGCTTGTTCCTGTAACGCTTTAAGGGCTCTGAAAAAATCAGGACAGGCAGACATGAAAAGGAAACCAGTTTCAAAGTTCCATAGAACTGTAAGGATACCTTCCCTCCCATCCTCTTCCCTTTCTTATCCTTCCCCTCTCCTCCTTTACCCTCCCCTTCCTCTTTCCTTCTCTTCTTGCCTTCCCTTCCCTTCTTTTCCCTTTTCCCCTCTCTTCTTCCCCTCCCTTTCCCTCCTCTCCCTTTTTCCACTCTCCTTCCCTCCCCCTCTCCTCTCTAAGGGTCTCACTACATAGCTCTGACTGTCCTAAAACTCACTCTGTAGACCAGGCTGGCTCAACTTCACAAAGATCTTACCTGCCTTTACTGGGATTGTACTATACTGCCTGGCCCAACATAAAGCAGCTTGAAACCCCTGGGATGGATAGAAAGGACTCCTGGGGCGTCTGCATCTAGCAAGAAATGGAATCCTGCAGGTCAGAGTTCAGGAAATGCGCCACCCCCTCCCTCTTTCTTTCCCTGTATTTCCCATGGAGTGGCTGCAGTGGTAGTGGTAAGCAGCCACCTAAACCCTGAGCAGGGAGCTGAAGCCTGGGGAGAACAGGGCTTTTCTGCACAGCTGTGTCCTCTCCCTGCACTGGCCTCAGGCTGTGGAGGAAGCCTACCACAGGCTAGAAATGAAAGGTCCATGTTAAGATCCTCACCAAACTCTCAAGTTTACTAATTTTTTTCCATTTTCCTCTGCTCTTGAGCCTGCCCAGTAGACTTCCGGTTTTCTTTATTATATTTGAAACATGTGTTCACTCTTTGTTGCTGTTGTTTTGTGTATGTGTGTGTGTTTCTCTGTGTAACAGTTCTCCCTGCCCTGAAACTCACTTTGTAGAGCAGGCTGGCCTTGAGCTCTTAGACATCTGTGTGCCAAGTGCTGGAATTAATGCCACCACACCAACTAAAAAACATGTTTACTCTTACAGCTTTGTTCTTACCTTTCCGCCCATTTTGATAAATTATCTCCGCCAAGGAAATAAGCCAATTCAAGCCAGGCTAGGTGGTGCACACCTGTAACCCAGCACACAGGAGGCCAGCCTGTGAGTTTGAGGCCAGCCTGCTCTACAAAGCTAGTCCATGACAGCCAAGGCTACACAGAGAAACCCTGTCTCGAAGAAAAAAAAAAAAAAGAAACCAATTCAAGTCAAATTAAAAGCAAAAATACAGTTTTATTGGGAACAGCTCTTGGGCAGGTTCACCCCAACCTCACAGGAGGGGGTCAGTGAAGTCACCATGCAGAGGCAGACAGAAAAGTGAGGGACAGAGAAAGAACACTGACGGAGAGAGAAAAGAGGAAATGCAGAGGGGGTGGGGAGAGAGAACACTGGGAAAAGCTGCTGGGGGAGAACCCCAGCCCATGGCTGGAAAGTTCAGGGCAGAGGGTGGGGTGTTCTAGCCATGCCCTGTAACAGGAGAGACTGAGGCATGCTGGGAGAACCTGGAGGACACGTCCACTTTCATTAAATGGGCACCTCAGCTGCTTGTCCCGGGTCTGAATCCCAACATTAAGGATGTTTACTTTTTTGTAGTTTGTTTTTTTTCTGACAAGGTTTCACTGTGTAGCCCAGCATTGCCTCACATGCCTAAAGATCCTCCTGCCTCTCCAGTGTTGGGATTAAAAGTGTAAAGATACACTAATGTATTTTTTTAATTAACTAATTAATTTTTTTGTTTGTATGTTTGTTTTGAGACAGGGTCTCTTTGTGTAGCCTTGGCTGTCCTGGAACTTACTCTGTAGTTCTGCCTGCCTCTGCCTCCTGAGTGCTGGGATTAAAGGCATACACTACCAAAGCCTGATGTATTGTTTTAAAGACAGAGTCTCATATAACTCAAACTGGTCTCAGGCTTTCCTGATTGTTGCGTGCATTTTTTTTAATCTATTTTATTGGTTTTGTATGCCTCTACCACCCTTCTCCATCCCTTATCCCTCCTAATTATCTCTGCTATCCCAACATTAGGTAGGAGAAAAAGGTTAGAAGGTATCAGGGTCCAAGAATTGCTGAAGAAAGATCCCAGACTCAAGTAGTATGCAAAAGCAGAAAGTGTTTATTCTGCAGAAGTTTCCAGTATGCTGGGATCCCCATTAAGGCAAAATGGCAATCCAGAAGTGAATACATAGGCTCTTTTTATAGGCAGTTAGGGCCTTTGTGTGGTTACTCTTAAAATAATTGGTCAGGAATAACATAAGGGCACAAGGGGATTCAGGATTGGCTAATTGTTTAGTGATTTTTCCCTAGTTACTGGGGACTTTATTGACCCATTGAGATTTGGCTTTTACTCATGTGTTGACCTTTAATTTGATTGGTTAGGGCTGGAACAAAGTGGAGAAAAGAAGCCTGTCATGGCATCCAGGCCTGGCTGTCCTGGACTTGTAGACCTGGATTTGTAGACCAGGCTGGCCTCAAACTCACGATGATCCGCCTGCCTCTGCTTCCCAAGTG